TATTACAATATTCAATAACCTTTAGGTACTATTAAATTGTTAGAACTTTAGGATTTAAGAAGATGTTCAAATATTCCTCCATCGACTGCTAGACAATAACCCAGGCGATCATAAAATTCTCTTCTTACATTCGCTAGTTGGTAAACTGAAATTCTATTGCAGTCGGCAGAAATAGCATTTTTAACTCGTCTATATTTGGGTATTTTTATCCTTGTATATCCTGTTTTTTAAATGGCCCCAGAGAAAGAAATCATTTGGCGAAATATCAGGAGACCTTGCTGGCCAATTTACTGTATGATTTAGGCCAATAACGTTTCCGTTAAAACTATTGTCTAAATATTCCCGAACAGCCAGGGTACTATATGTGCCGGGCAGCCATCCATTTGGTACCAAACTTCCTGATTTTCCCTAGCGGCATCATGTAAAGCAGGTAAAAAATGATTTTCGAGTAGTTCCAAATAATATTCTGCATTGAAATTTCGCGTAAGAAATAATGCTCCAATAATATTGTGTCCGAATATCGCTGCCCAAACATTTACTTTCTGTGGATATTGCGTCCTTGTTTCGACAAACCTGTGTTGGTTTCTTTGTTCCAATATCGATAATTTTGAACATTGGTAAAAAGGTAAACGAGCATTCGTCAGTGAAACATATGTTTTTAAAAAATTCCCTATCCGTGTTTGCTCTTTCCATCATATCAAAACAAAACGCCCGCCGCCGTATTTCGTCCCCATTTCGTAGCTCTTGGTGCTTTTCATATTTGAAGGAATAGTATTTATGTCGTTTCAAAATTCGAAACGCTGTCGTGTGATTTATTCCTATTTCATCCTCAAGTTTTCTTGTGCTGATCTTTCCATCGTTTTCTTCCACGCACAATAAAACTTCCAAGTCGGTATCATTTCTTGCATCTTCTCTTTGTTCCTGCCTTGCTTCACATCTGCAGTTATTTATTAGGGTACCTTTGGTCTCAAATCTCTGGATACTCCTTGCGATTGTAGATTTTCCAGGTATCGGTCTATTCGGATATAGAGCAGCAAACATGTCCGACACCTTTTGATAACTATTTCCTTGATAATACCATTTAATCATCAATACTTTTCTTCGGTAGTGTAATTCATCGCTAATATTTTCGATGTAGGTATGAGTTTTTATTAATAATAATAAAGCACTAAATAGATAAATTTCTGAAATGACAACTTCATTTGACAGTTATCTTTTACCCTGACTTGTGCTCATAAGTAAATACAGGGCCATAAGAAAGGGGAAATATTTAAAAAGAAATCGGCGATAACTCGTAAACGGGCTAATCAAAAATATCTAAAGTTATTCTTTTGAATGTGGGTTTTAGTGCTCTTCAATAAACCTAAATAGAATTATTCTCTAAAATAATTAGGGAAGCCAATAATTGACCCCATTAATTTTTCGCTGCAATATTTTAGGCAATAAATCGTAAACTTTCGTTGTACCTATCTAAGGAAAATATTGTTTTTTTCCATAGCAACTGTTAAAATTGCCTTATATCTATCAAAAATAGTAGTTAAAATAGTACTTTAACCGCAAGGGTAGATTAAATGATACTTTAACAGCGAGGATAGGTTAAAAACTTTATTTCTTCTCGCACGTTTTTAATTGCTTCCATTTTTGAAAATTTTTGTATTCCTTTTCATAAGTTATTCGGCATTGAAATGGAAGTAGTTTGTCCGCCGCTGTTGTCGCCTCAACCTGAATATCTGTTGGTAATTTACCTATTTCGTTTTGAGCTATTTCTGGTTCCAATTCAATCAACAATCGACACGAAAGAGAATTAAAAAATATTGACTCAAAACTGACAACTAAGAGACAGCTTCATTTATTTGTCAAATTACAATATTCTTTCTACTTGTAATAAATTCGTTCTGAATATTTTTTAAAACATAGCTTAATATGGAAAAAAATATAGTTTTATACACGACACTAAAATTGCATTATCATCTCCCGAAATTAATTCACTCGCGATTTCATCGCTCGTGAATTAATCTTTTCTAACATCTAATAACTATTAGATGTCATTGGTATAAACATTATTTACACTTTATACTCACTATTTACTTTTATATAATTATACAGGGCGATATTTATTGTGTAATATATACTCTAAATTCCGACGAGACACATATTATATTATTCGTACACGCGTGGCAATAAAACGCAGGGTTATGAACCAAGAAAAAATTGGCTAACCATGGCAATTTGAAAAATACCATTGGGTCAAGTTTTCGTCGGCCGCTCAATGCTAACGATACAAAGATAACGGTAATCTTTTTCAGCTCGGTAGGTATCGGCTACTACGATTTTTTTAGGTTGACCTTAGATATAGCGCAAAATAAAATGTCTAAACAAGGTGACAAACTCGTGAAATGGTTAGACACACACATATCTAGGCGTGATCAATTGTATAACGACATGTATGTATGTTTATTAAGAGCTTCATTATGCATTTGTACATCTTTTAATATGATTGTTTAATATGGTAAATGTTGGTAAAGGCTTAAAATAGCACTAATAGTTTTTCAATTTCTAAGGATTTGTACATAGACTTGCATAAAAGACAGACTAACCATACAGGGTTTCTCATCGTAGCCGTTCGTTAGAAGTTTTTGAGGTTAGGAAAAACTTAGAAGTTTGAAATTTTGAGACTTAGGGTTATTTAAAATTTCCTTTCATTTAAAAATATTTTCAAGGTCACACCACTTCTGGTTATACCGGAAGTCGCTATTAACTTTCTTATTTCAAATGGAACACCCTGTATATTATTTAATTTTTGGATTTCTCAGAAAATTTTATGATGAGTTTTGTTAGATTTCCCTATACCTATTTTCAACTGTTTCTCAGATATCTTCATTTATTTGAAAATTTTTACATTTTTACCCCTATTTTTAACAGTGGGTCTTTCACTCATTTTGAATTGGTGATAAATGCTTCTGCGGTAAACTGGAGCAGATGACTAATAACTTTCGAAGTCCATATTGACAATTAATTTATCTCATACAGGGTGTCCAAAATTCGATAACTGATTAGATTATTTTCAAACTCAAAAAAGTCCATTTTTTCAAATGAGACAGCCTATATATTTTTCGATAGTTGGATGCAGAATTCAATTCTGCATCGATTTGCTATAACTTTCCCTATACCCATTTTCAACGGTTTTCTTTTTAATCCGTATATTTTACTTTAATTCAATTTTTGGCAGAATCGACAATATCGTTTGTGTTTTTTAAAATAAAATAATTATGTTAAAGTAATGAAATTGAATGTAATTAGAACATACGAACAAAACAGGAACAAAATGAGAGTGAAAACGTATAAAATATAACATAACATAAGAAAACAAACGTATAACAGTAACGGTGAGGCATTCATTATTAACACTAGACGTTAGTGCATCACTACCATAATAAAAAAAAGTAAACACAATAATTACAAAAATTATTGTTCGAAGTGACCGCTATGAACGAAAATTTTTGTAATTATTGAGTTAACTTTTTTTTATTATTGTAGGGATAAACTAACGTCTAGTATTAATAATTAATGCCTCACCGTTACTGTTGAAAATACGTTTTTTTTGTTATGTTATGTTATATTTTATACGTTTTCACTTTGTTTTGTTCCTGTTTTTCGTATGTTCTAATTACATTCAATTTCTTTACTAACATAATTATTTTTCTTTTAAAAACACAAACGATATTGTCGATTCTGCCAAAATTGAATTAAAGTAAAAAATACGGATTAACAAGAAAACCGTTGAAAATGGATATAGGGAAAGTTATAGCAAATGGATGCAGAATTGAATTCTGCATCCAACTATCGAAAAATATACAGGGTGTCCCATTTGAAAAAATGAACTATTTTGAGTTTGAAAATAATCTAATCAGTTATCCAATTTTGGACACCCTGTATGCAATAAATTAATTGTCAACATGGATTTCGAAAGTATTAGTCCTCTGCTTCGGTTTACCGCAGAAGCGTTTATCACCGATTCAAAATGAGTAAAAGACCGACTGTTAAAAATAGGGGTAAATCTGTAAACATTTTCAAATAAATCTAGATATCTGAGAAACAGTTGAAAATAGGTATAAGGAAACCTAATGAAACTCATCATAAAATTTTCTTAGAAATCCAAAAATAAAATAATATATAGGGTGTTCCATTTAAAATAAGGAAGTTAATGGCGACTTCCGGTGTAACCGGAAGTGGTGTGACCTTGAAAATATTTTTAAATGAAAGGAAAGGTTAAATAACCCTAAGTCTCAAAATTTCAAACTTCTAAGTTTTTCCTAACCTCAAAAACTTCTAACGAACTGCTACGGTGAGAAACCCTGTACACATTGATTTTTTTGAGCCAACATATACAAGCAAAATGTTAACAAACTTTCTGTTTATTTACAGTTGGATTTGACCTCAAATTAATATAATCCTTTTAACTAAAAGATAAATACATATATTTTTATATTATAGAACTAGGAGATTTCGATTGGTAAATAATGATTAATAAACATTAATTCAAAAAGAATAATTTTGCGAATACAATAGTGAAATTCCTTTTAAATGTTATGTAAATGTTCATAGCGTTTAAAATTGTCAAACACTCCAATGAATGACATTACAATGATGTTTTATGGATAGATAAATATTCGCAGATATGTTTTTTGCTAATGTTATTTTTACAAAATAATAAGTACAAATAAATGCCGTCATTATAATACTAAAACATATTTTAAGTTGGTTATATTTATAGTAATGATATCAATCATTGAAAAATACTTAATCACAAACTGGATACGAAACAATTTGGACAGATTATTTCCAGAAACAATATATGGTATAAACAATAATTATTAAAAATATTAAAAAAAAACTGGAGAACTTTTTTTTTCTATGTGTATTCATTGGTTTTTGTCATATTGTAAACTGCCATAATTGACTTAATTTAATATAACTTATTACTTAAATTTTTGTTTCAGGAATGTCCACAGAGGGAGACAGCTATGATGATCCAGTTCAAGGGGTTTTAAATGATACAGGTAAGTAGTCTTAAGATTATTATTTTAAAATCAGTGTTAACGATGATTGATCCCTTTAAAACCATCTTATCTATTAGAAAAAAAAAATCGGGCAAGCTAATTTTTTCAGATTTTGTCAGCGACTGTCTTCTGAGTGTAAAATTAACAAAATCGGAAATTTTCCTCTTGCGGTTTTTAACTGTACTACAACAAAATAATTATACGCAAATTATACATAAGAACATTCTCTATCTTCTTCTTAAAGTGCCTTCTCCATTCAGTGAAGATCGGCAACAACCATGGCAAATTCCTCTCTATTTTTCGCTCTTCTCAGGAAAGTATGTGAGTCCAGGCCTGTCCAATCTCTGATGTTCTTCAGCCAGGAGCATTGCCGTCGTCCGGGTCCGCGCTTTCCCTCAATTTTACCCTCGATGATGAGCTGAAGGAATTCATACTTGCTATGTCTCATGATATGGCCCAAATAGGCTGCTTTCCTCTTTTTTATTATGTCGAGGAGTTCTCGGTCCTTGTTCATTTGGTTTAAAGCTCGTTCATTCGAGACACGGTCAGTCTCAGTCACATTCTCTATAAGTTCGCCTAATTAATTTTTTCATAAGTTTATTATTTCCGGACATAGCGGCCGTTCCATAAGCCCTTTGGGGTGGTTTTCAAAAAGTTTGTTTTACAGCAAATTGACCCGTATGAAACTTGTTCGTAATAAATGGACAAGCAACTTTTCCTCATGAATTTTTTTTGTAGCTTGATTATTTTTGGAGATAGCGTCCAGTTCATGAACAAATTAGGGTAGTTTTCAATGTTACTCTTTTTTCAGCAAATTCACCCTAGGAAACTCATTCAAAATAAGAGTACATATACCTTTGCCTTATGATTTTTTTTTGTAACTTGACTATTTCTGGAGATAGCAAAAGAAACCAACAATAAATCTGAGGAGCCCACGCCAGGTCCATCACACAAAAGAAGACGATACAAATAAAAAAAAATCATAATGTTCATTCACTTGATGAATTCCATGTTTCGTTTTGGGGAAATAAATACATATCATAGGGAAGTTTGCATGTAATTTTAATATGAACACCTTTAAGTTCGTAAAATTGTAGAACTAAACAAAAATTATGAAACTACCCCAATTTGTTCATGAACTGGACGCTATCTCCAAAAATAATGAAGCTACAAAAAAATGAGGAAAAGTTGCTTGTCAATTTATTATGAACAACTTTCATACGGGTCAATTTGTTGTAAAACAAACTTTTTGAAAACCACCCCAAAGGGCTCATGAAACAGCCGCTAAGTCCGGAAATAATAAACTTATAAAAAAATTCATTAGGTGAACTTATAGAGAATATTCTTATGTACAGTGTGGGTCAAATTCGACGCTTTTAAATAGAAACAATCTTTTCTATAGGAGATAGACAAAAACTAATATCGGTGTCTGGAGCTCAATTTTTGTCAAAAACATGTTGGTGAAAACCGCATATCGATATCTGTTGCCGTTTCGGAGTTACGGGGGTTTTTCAAAAATTTGCATTTTTAACAAATCGCTGTAACTTTTTTGCTATGGAAAATTTTGTATTTTTATGCAAACATTTCCAAACCACCTTTTTACGTAGAATTTATTGGTTTAAGTATAATTTTTTTAAAATTAATAATTTAAGAATTATCAACAGAAAATTTGATTTTTTATATGGGACACTCTGTATATTTTTAATTAGCCGAAAAGAATTTAAAATTACCTTTCCAAAAATATAGCACACTTGATATTTTGTTATAATCCCCTTCGAAATACAGATTTTTTAAAAGTTCGCCACTTTTAACTAGTAGGCTTTGGACCCCTCATTGATGATATGCCCTTAATGGAACTCGAACACATATTTTTCCAGCAAGACGACGCACCGCCTCTGAACGATGAAGTTATCAGCAAATTTCTGGAGCCAATTTCAAGAATAATTGAATAGCTGACCAAGAACCCAGCCGTTGGCCGTCGAGGCCGCCTGACTTAGTGCCCATGGATCTAATCCTATGGATATATTTGCGGAAGAATAAAGGTTCCTTATTCTTCTCTATAATCTAGACAAGAATTAGAAATACTTAGCAGTTATGAGAGGGTATCTTTCACCCCCACTAGGTTAATGAATTCCGCAAGAAATGTTCAAAAACTGCCCCGTCTGTCCATAACAGAAGACGGTCGATATGTCGAACACCTGTAGCAAAATCTCATGTCCTGGTTTGCTATTTATTTTTATTGTTATGAGATATAGTTTAAATGTGTTGATGTTGGTTAAATATATTTTAAATTGTTATAAAATTCTGCATCTCTCATAGCAAATATTATTTTCGTTTTAATTGATGCTCACAGCTAGAATTTTTTTTGCATTACAGCCGGTGCCGTTCAAAGCCTACTTATTTAAAGCGGGCGAATTTTTATATACTCTATATCTCGAAGAGGAATCGAGCAAAATATCAAGTGTGTTATATTTTTGGAAAGGTAATTTTAAATTCTTTTCAATAAATTAAAAATATACAGGGTGTCCCATATAAAAAATCAATTTTTCTGTTGATAACTCTTAAATTATTAATTTTAAAAAATTATACTTAAACAATTAAATTCTACGTAAAAGATGCTTTGGAAACGTTTTCATAGAAATACAAAATTTTCCATAGCAAAAAGTTACAGCGATTTGTTAAAATGCACATTTTTGAAAAACACCCCGTAACTCCGAAACGGTAACAGATATTGATCTGCGGTTTTCGCCATCATGTTTTTGATAAAAATTGAGCTCCAGACACCGATATTAGTTTTCGTCTATCTCCTATAGAAAAGGGTGTTTCCATTTAAAAGCGTCGAATTTGACCCACCCTGTACAGTTAAAAAAACACCCCTATTGCTTAAAAACCGCAAGGGGAAAATTTCCGATTTTGTTTATTTTACACTCAGAAGACAGTCGCTGACAAACTCTGAAAAAATCAGCTTGCCCGTAATTTTTTTTAAATGACAGTTTTATTGGATAAATCATAATATGCAGTAGCGGCAATTTTCAACTTCTAATAAACTACACATGAAAATTCATTTGTAAAAAATTGATGCTCGCAAGGTCTTTACATATAGTTCTGACTGAATTAGCACATTCTAATTTTCGACGTAACAGAAAACCATTAGAACTGCCAATTAGCGCATATATTTTCAGGGCTGGGGAATCTCGAGGAAAGAAATATATTTTCCCTTTACTGTTTTTCAAATAAGTCCAAAATAACCGAGTTATTATGCATGGGCGCCGGAAGAATGAAATTTAGGGGGGGGGGCAAGGTAAAAATGAATAAAAAATTGACATTTTTGGTAATTATTGGGAAAACTGGAAATCGTCCGATTTTCACCAAAATTGGTATACACCCTATTTTGAAGTCGTAGATTACGAATCTGAACTTTTTTCTTGGCGGTCTCTTACCGTTTTTCAGAAAAACGGAAAATAATTTCAATATCGAATTTTTCTTAATTTCTCATATTTTTAAGGTTTTCTAGCACATATTTTCTTAGGTATTCAATAATCAATAATGTTTTTGCTATTTTCTGTTACTTTTTTAACCAATTCTATGCATAATAGAGGAAAATTTGCTAAAATAAATTTGTAAACAATCTGAAAATGTTAGGTTATAGCTTTGTTCGGGTTCTTGTTATTACCGATTCTGAACCGTCCAAGAACTCTGCAGCGCATGCGCAAATGAAATAATGTCTTCATATTTCCTTCTGCGCATACGCATCACAGTTCTAGGACCCCTCTTGCCCCCCCTGTCCGGCGCCTATGTTATTATGGACTTATTTGAAAGTTAAAAAACTTTAAGAATAATTTTTTTACTTTTTTAAGGACTTATTTGAAAGTAAACAAGTTTTTATAATTCTGTCCTAAAATGCTTAGTTTCGGAGGTACAGGGTGTAGAAGTTTCATTTTTATTTCGATTTTTTCCAAATAATTTCCGAAGTAAGGTCAATATTTGGATGAAAATTGGTTTCTGGGAGTTTTTAGACATGAGAAATTTGTTTTTGATGTCAATATGATTTCTGTTTGTAGGGGGCGCCGCCAACATGTGTTTGGATTGGTTTTTTCGTCCGTAGCTGATCACTATTAAAGTTCGCAGAAACCCGGGGCTATATTATTACATTACTCTGAGGAAAATAACGAAAATAATCGATATTTTTGACTCCGCCCCGAAAGGTTCACGATTTGTCCTCCAGTTGGCAGCACAATTTGTCTAGTCGGTTGAACAACTTTAAGAATATATAAACAAGGGTATTAAGTAAATTTCTCATGTCAAAAAACTCCCAGATACCAATTTTCATCCATATAATGATGTTACTTCAGATATTATTTGGAAAAAAATCGAAATCAAGATGAAACTTCTACACCCTGTATCTCCGAAACTAAGCAATTTATTTTTATCTGCAGAATATGCTCGCGATATTTCCGGAATACAGTTCGGACCACCCTGTAGTGCATTCTACGAGTACCTACTTAAAAAATGCAATTTATATCAAAAATTTAGAATGTGTCGATTTAGCAAAAGCCATAAAATTTTCATAATTTAAATATTTGCCTAAAACAACTATATTTTGAGATATTGCTTAAAGCAACTTAAAGTATACGTAAAACTCCCTGTATGATTTTAAATTAAATTTAATTTCTTCACTAATACCCCGCCATCTATCGTGAAAAACGAATACTATCCTTTCGTAATTTACAGGTTTCTGTATTTAGGACGTGATATTGTAACTAGATGTCTGCAATCTTTTGGCACCATCTATTATACGTTGTGTGAACCGATGTTGTGAAGCGCCACCTGTGCAATTTATTACAAACTATTTTAGTACCAACAACATATAGCAGGTGGTGCCACAGCATTAAGGAAGAATTCGTTTTAAATGCGTAACTAAAGTTTAGTAATCAATCGCTAGATGGACATAGCCGCCTAAAACACCTTCCTGGAGTATTATTTGAAAATATCGTTTGTAG